AAGCGGTTTCTCATCCCTGGCTCTGCTGACATCCTGAGCAGGATAACTGTGGTAGGGGCTGGCCTATGTGTTGCAGGGTGCTTAGCAGCTTCTCTGGCCTCTACCACTAGATGCCAGTAGCATCCTTTCCCCCAAAGATGACAATCAAAACTGTCTCCAGAATGTTGTCAAATGTCCCCTGTGGAGCTAAAATGCCATTCAGCCGCACCGTGAAGTGCTTGACATAGAGGCAAGACCTCTGTGACCACAAAAAGGATGCAGTCACTCCTTCCCTTACCCCTCCTCAACCTGGGTTTCTCTGCTCCATGCTCTGCCCAGGATGCATGGGACCCAGGCCATCAAGGGGAGGAATAGGGACTTCCTCACTAGAAAAGGATGGGCCGCCATCCCTCAGCCTGTATACACACCTCTATTGTTGACCTTTGAATCTTTCTTGTACATTTAACTAGAAGTTTTACTAATCCTATTGATAGAATTCAAAGACAAGTAGATATTTACTTAGGGACTAGTTAAGATTCAAAATGGTACTTCTTAACATGAAGCTGGCGGCAACTCTCAGTAATTCCTAATCAAGCAAAGTTCTTCAAAATTACGTGGAAATAACCTCAAAAGCTATGTAGTAATTCAAGAAATATTTATCTTACTTTTCAACTTGAGGCTGGTATGTTCTTTTTCTAAAAGAACAAATGGGTTTTCTTATCACAACCAACACCTGAAATTCCTTACCTTAAAATGCCACTCCACTTTAGTGGTAAGTATATTTGAGGAATAAGCAGAAATCATAGCAGGAGTTGATGGTAGAACCACTCAGGTTGTAATGGAGATTGAGCAGAGACCTCACAGACCTTGTGCAGCCCAAACAGAGCATGCCAACTGCACGGAACTCTGTTCCCACGTTTGCACAGTGAGTTGACAAAAGTGTATATAGCTAAGTGATATATACACTTAGACCACTGATCTAGCCCATACAATGTTAGAGTTTGAGCATGATGCTCATAACATCTACCTGGGTGAGTCAGCAGTATGGCAGAAAGGGTCCAGGACAAAAATCACAAGACCTGGGTTCAAATTCTGGATCAGTGTCTAGCAGGTTCTATTTAAACCAGGCAAGTTATTTAACATCTCTAGACCTAAACTTCATAAAAGGTAGGTGTTAGAACATGTGATGACTATAGCTTTCTCAGGGAAGAGAGTGGAAGTGGAGTTGGCTATAAAATCATGAGGCTCTAACTTAAGGCAGAGGACAAATGGGGCCAGGTGGTAATACCAGGAGGGAATACTCACAATAGGAAGGCTGGACTGGCAGGCAGTCTGGGATCTGGTTTGAGTCCATTTGGGCTGCTCTAGTAAAATACCATAGACTAGGGAGGCTTATAAACAACAGGAATTTATGTGTCACATTTCTGGAGTCTGGGAAGTCCAAGATCAAAGCACTGGAAGATCTAGTGTCTTCTTGCTATGTCCTCACATGAAGGGAAGAGCAAAGCAGCTCTCTGAGGCCTCTTTCGTAAGAGCAGAGTTAGGAAAACCCAACTCTAACATGATGTTCCTCCATCCAGCAGGCAGTGGGCACCAGCTAGGTGTCCTCTAATTCAATTCTGACACATCTACCTAGGGATAACCTCAGATTTCAAAGGCAGGCTCTCAGCCCCTTTTTCAGATATCAGTTCCAACTTCCAGCCTCAGGAACTTCTGAAAAACAAACTTCGAGCTGAAGTTCCCACAACTCTCTTTGGGTTTCATTCATTTGCCAGAGTGTCTGGTTTATTAGAAAGGCTATTACATGTACAGAGGATACGGAAGAGATGTACAGGGTGAAGCATGGGGAAGGGGCTCAGAAGCTCCATATCCACCTGGGTGCACCACCTCCCAGAACCCTCCATGTGGTACAGCTATCAGGAAGCTCCCTGAATCCAGACCTCTGGGGCATTTTATGGAGACTTCATTGGACAGGCATGACTGAAGACAACCATGAAAAAATGTCATTAGACAGAAAGAGTATGACCTAATGGGAACAGACGGAGTGAGGAAAGCCAGCCTGGCTTTTCAGTTCAGACGCTTCTTCCTCCAGAGGTTGGGACAGGACCCTTTGGAATGAGGATCTCCTGACCGACAATCAGATGAAACTGGACAGGTGAAAGGAGGATGGGAGAAGGTCAGGGAGAGAAATTCTGTTTCCTAAGGCCTGTTTCCAAGGCCTAAGATGCCCAACATTGTAACAAAAGGCTGTAAGGAGGGTAACAGGAGTTAAGAGCCAAGAACTATCAACAGAGACCTATATTTATATACAAATGTATTTATAAATATATTATATATCATAGGCACGAATCTCATTCATGACAGTGGAACCCTCATTACCTGATAATGCCACTGCATTCTAGCTGGGGTGACGAGAGAGACCTCATCTCAAAAATTAAAAAAAAAAAAAAAATTTCTAATGGACATCATTATGCTTCTCAGCAAGTAGCACTGTTTGTGTACGCACATATACATATTTGATATATTCTGTAAGTTCTATTTGATATATTAAATTCCACAAACTATTTAGCTATACTCTAAGAAAATTGTTTAGCTGCACTTGGGGAAGATTCACAATTTTAAAAAATGAATAAAAAAGCGAAGTCTCCCAATCTATGGCTCCCAAACGTGTACTATTTACATATAGTCGTTTCCAACCCATTCAAATCAAATTCACGCCCTGTCCTTTGTTGTAGTCAGTGGAATGAACATTTCTATTAAATCACCTTAACTATTCTGGGTAACATTTCAGAATTCCAAACAGCAGAGAAGAAACCATTAAAGGGAGCTGAGATTTTGGGCCTTACTCACATCAAACTGCCTTGGGACATTTAGCATATGCCCCATCACTACTAAATCTCTTATACTCAGCCAGCTTATTTTAATAGACCATTTCTCAACTACGCCACCTGTTCTTCTAGTTGTAAATAAAAAGCGAGTAGAGCACTAAAACACAGCTATGACTACATCTAAAGCTCTGTAACATCGACATTAGCAACTCTCAAAGTGTGTCTTCTGTGAGCATCACAAGCATCTCCAGGGAATCTGTGGTCATGCAAACCTGCTGGATTCTAGTTGCAGAATCAGACACTTTCAGGTAAGGGCGAGACATGAGCTCAGGAGTTCGAGACCAGGCTGAGCAAGAGCAAGACTCCATCTCTACTAAAAATAGAAAAACTAGCCAGGCACTATGGCAGACACCTGTAGTCCCAGCTATTCAGGAGGCTGAGGCAGGAGGATTGCTTGAGCCCAGGAGTTTGAGGTTGCTGTGAGCTATGATGCCACAGCACTCTACCCAGGGCAACAGACCAAGACTTTGTCTCAAGAAAAAAAAAAAAAGAAAGAACAGTTTTCCTCTGTTTAAGACAAACCAATCTATTGTGAACCTAAATATGAGTTTTGTTGGATTTGCTGAAGTTTGCTGAAGCCTCAAAAGCTTTATTGTGAACCATCCTAAATATACAAATAAAGAGGTCTATAGGCCCTCCCACCTCCACCCTACCAGGAAAAGGCAATACAGAGTTAGCTGGTGCTATAGTTTAGATATTTATGTTCCCTCCACAATTCATGCTGAAACTTATTCCCTAATGCCAGTTAGTGGGGAAGCTGTGACCTCAAGACCACATAGCCCTATGACCAAATCCACGCTTCAAAGAAAAAAACTCTTTACTAAAAAGATTTGTTCTTGGGCGGTGCCTGTGGCTCAGTGGGTAGGGCACCAGTCCCATACAGCGAGGGTGGCAGGTTCAAACCCAGCCCCGGCCAAACTGCAACAATAACAAAAAAATAGCTGGACACTGTGGTGGGCACCTATAGTCCCAGCTACTCAGGAGGCTAAGGCAAGAGAATCATCTAAGCCCAAGAGTTAGAGGTTGCTGTGAGCTGTGTGACTCTGGTAAAATTTGGATTCAGTCAAAAGGCCACACTCAACCCCCTTCTGGACCCAAGTATTTGTCCCCTCTGGAGGGTGCAACAAAGAGGCTCCACCAGAGAGCAGCTCTCACCAGATGTGGAGTTGCCATGCCTGACCCCAGACTTTCTAGCCTCCAGAACTTGAGAAACTTCTCTTCCTTATAAATTACTCAGTTTGTGTTATTATAGCAGCAGGAGCTAAGATAGTTGGTTAATTCCTTAAGGTTTCAAGAGAGTACACAATCAAGTAATTTTTTCCAACCTGTTATATGACATTTTTTCTTTAAATCTTTACTTCATTTGAAGAGAAACAAACAGGAAAAATATATTTTAAAAATAGAGCATTTGGGGCAGCGGCTGTGGCTCAGCCCCATATACCAAGGGTGGTAGGTTCAAACCCGGCCCTGGCCAAACTGCAACAAAAATTAGCCAGGTGTTGTGGCTGGCACCTGTAGTCCCAGCTACCCGGGAGGCTGAGGCAAGAGAATTGCTTAAGCCTAGGAGTTGGAGGTTGCTGTGAGCTGTGTGACACCACGGCACTCTACTGAGGGTGACAGAGTGAGATTCTGTCTCTACGAAAAAAAAGAGAGCATTTCCTACAAGAGTGGAAAGCGGGAAAAAGGCTCATAACAATCCAACCACTTCAGGAAAAGATTAAGTAAATTATGAAACACTAGAGTTGTTTAAATATGTTTTAAGATACAAATATTAATGATTAAAATTAAATTTCAATATGTGAAGAAATTAGATAAACAGAAATACTATATACCCAATGATTTTAACCATCCAAAAATTATGACTACAGATGAATAAAGTTTTATAAGGTAATAGAAAAATACAAAAGTTTTTGTTACGATGAAATTATATTTATTTTCTCTAATGCTAATATAGTACTGTAATACTATTATTTTAATAAACTTGAAATTTTCTTTCTTTTTGTGAGACAGAGCCTCAAGCTTAATGCACGCCAAAAGAATGCCTATATTTTCCAAAACTCTGACAAGGGTGGGGTGGGATGGATAGAACTAGGGCCATTAACATGTGTTATTCAGGAAAACAAACTTTCTTACCCTTGTGCCTCTTCAGTTGGGGAAAGCTGCTAATTGTAGTTGCTTGGATTATTTCCACTACAATTTGATACCTGATTTTTAAAAAGAAAGAGAGAGAAAAGATTTAATAGGAAGAAGACACTATTTGCAGAGATACCTTTGTTTTATTTTGTCTTTTTTTCCCTCTGTCCCCTGGGTAGAGTGTAATGGTGTCATAGCTCACAGTAACCTCAAATTCATGGGTTCAAGTAATCCTCCTGCCTCAGCCTCCTAAGTAGTTGGGACTACTGGTGCCCACCATAACACCTGGCTAGTTTTTCTATTTTTAGTAGAGTCAGGGTCCCACTCTTGCTCAATCTAGTCTGGAATTCCTGAGCTCAGACTATCCACCTGCCTCAGCCTCCCAGAGTGTTGAGATTATAGGCATGAGCCACTGTGCCTAACCTACTTATTTTCTTAACAGGGTCCACTCTGTCACCCAGGCTGCAGTGATTTGGGTATCACACAGCTCAATGCAGGCTCAAACTCCTGGGCTTAAGCGATCCTCCTGCCTCAGCCTCTGTAAGTGTTGGGATTATAGGTGTGTGCCATCACACCCATCTGAGATACTGTTAGACTGCATCTAAACTTAATAAATAAATACAGGAGCTGTGACTCCTGCCAAAGTCTCACTTAAACAAGCCAATATGGATCAAGTATCTATAACAGACTGGGCACTGTGCCATGCTAGTCATTTCTGAGGCCCTAATGTAAACATCACACACCCACAATGCCCCTACCAAACTCCCCACAGTGAGAGTATTAATACCTAGCCCTAACCAGGGGTAGACACTGAGGTTCTGTTTAAATTCCTCTGTCTGCTCCATATCCCTGGGCAAGCAGGCCCCACTGGCTCTACCACGCAAATCTGCACCGTCCAAAAAGGTGGCCACAGGTGATCTGTGGGTATTGCAGGTTATTAAAGTTTAGTCACTTTTCAATCACACTTGCTACATTTCACATGCTCAACAGTCACATGGCTTGTGTGCTGTACTGGACAGTGCAAAGAAAAAAGACTCAGGGCGGTCTCAATTCCTGCTTGAGGGATCCTCCCATCTCTGGCCTCCCAGAGTGCTGTGATTACAGGCATGAGCCAGAAATTCCATCACTTAAGAAAGTTCTGTGGATGGTACTATCCTCAATATATCTCAGAGCTGTCCTCACTGCTCCAGGCCCACTGCCGCTGTCCCTCCTTACTGCTCACTTAGAAGGCTGCCCCAGACCAGCAGAAGCAGAACATATGCAGTGAGACTCAGCCATCACTTTTTTTAGAATTTTTTTTTTTTTTTTTTTTGAGAAAGAGCCTCAAGCTGTCATCCTGGGTAGAGTACCATAGCATTACAGCTCATAGCAACCTCCAACTCCTGGGCTTAAGCGATTCTCTTGCCTCAGCATCCCAAGTAGCTGGGACTACAGGCACCCGCCACAATGCCCAGCTATTTTTTGGTTGTAGTTGTCATTGTTGTTTGTCAGGCCCAGTTTGGATTCAAACCCACCAGCTCTGGTATATGTGGCTGGTGCCTTAGCTACTTGCTCTACAGGTGCCAAGCCAGGCATCAATGTTTTTAATGCTCCCCAGTAATTCCAATGCACAAGGGGAGCTGGGGACTATCAGGTTAGAGCAGCAGGTATATGGATATATGACTGGCAAGACCTCTGAGTTAGGAAAAAGAAAATTTTATACTTTAAGTGCTGAGTACAGCCCTGGAGTTGTGGGTGTTTTTAGCATATTCAGTTGGGTTTTATAATCTAAATCCAGATTTTCTTATAGGCTATTTGACAATTACTAAGACTGCCCTAACCAAACTGATGTTTGGTTTCTTGGCCCTTAATTATACTGATTTAATTAACTGTATTTGCTGGTAACAAAGCTATTTTAACATTAATTCTTAACAAACTTTGCAACATTCTATGATTTAGTTTGGCTGGCTTTAGAGCACAAAATAGCATACATTCTTTTGATTTTCAACTAAAATCCAAGAGACACAAATTCATCACAGCCATGGCTATTTATGGACTCCTCACAAACTCCTATCTTTTTTATTTCTTCACTCGGGTAATATAAATATCCATGTCTGACTTACCACCTCAAAGAGGTGACAGTGTCAGGAGCAGTGTCACCCAAAAACGGTGGCAGACACTGTCAGCTGCATACCCCACATCCAGGCTCTTTTCCTGCCTTCCTAACTGCCCCACAGTTTTATCAGGGAAAGGGACATACTCAGCTAAAAAGCCTAACCTTCTCTGTAGCAACCAGGGCTGGTCACATGATACAGGCCTAACCTAGGAGATACAGGCAGAAATGGCTGGGTGAGGATTCCAGCAAAACTTTCTAACAACAAACCTTTGCAACATTTTGTCTTTGCCCATCCCTCATTTTTCTGTGCAAAACAACAATCAAGTGGATGAAGGTAAAAGCAGCCACCTTGCCAAGCCACAGGCTAAGAAAGATGCAGTAAGAAGACAAGAGGAGTTTAGGGCTCTGATGACATCATGAACCATCACAGCATCCCCCACTTACCCATCTCAAGACACATTGTTGCTGGAGGAAAATAAACTCCTAACCTGTTTAAGTTGCTGCATGTCAAGCTGTCTCATGGCCAAATGCCACTCTAACTGACAGAGAGTTCTTCGAGGACCCCATACATGCAGAAGACAGTTCTAGGCAGACTACACATTCAGGCAGTGTTTGCCAAACTGAAGCCTTGCTGGGACATCAACGATTAATAGTTTTCTGCTGGAACTGGCTTCATTCCTCCAAATGATGGCAAAGCACAAAAAATGGATCATTATATGAATGAGGAAAAGGTTTAGAAGCAGAATATACAAACCTGGACCCATCAAAGCCTGACTTTCCCCAACCAGGTCCTTAATTTAACCTTGGGGCATGAGTTCTACTGGCTGAAAGTGTGGACTTGCACACAACTCCAACATGTTTCCAACCCCCCCCCCCCGCATATTCTCAACTAGATGTCCTGCAAATAGACTTAACATCCTTCTGAAACACACCAAGTCTAATCTCAATAATTTATTATATGGAAACAATAGAAGCAAAAAACAAACAAAAGAACCCCAACCAAACCTATCATATACACATTACTGTAGCAACTCTACAAAGAAAAGCATGAAAATAAACTCTATGGCCAATAATGCTTTCATTAAATAACCATATTTCTTAATCTTGCATTGCTTTATCGTTATTCTTTGTTAATCTTTTATTGTTCAAAGGAATGAATAATACTAATATGCCTGCTTTCAGGAAGCTCTGAGGATGTAGCAGATCAAATAAAAGGCAAACACTCAGCCAATAGCATTTACGATCATAAAGATTACTTGAAAATAGATGTTTCTGACAGACTAATTTTAAAAATGAAAAATATAGCTAGGTGCCTGTAGCTCAGTGGGTAGAGCTCCAGTCCTGTGCACAAGGACCAGCAGGCTCAAACCTGGCCCAGGCTTGCTTCACAAAAAAAATAAAATAAAAATGCAAAATAGTATGTTTAAGTTTACAATCACAGATATTAACTCTGTGTGTATATGAACCAGGCCTACCAGGCAAAATACAGATTAAATAAAAGGCAGTTGCATTAAAGTGGTAGAATTACGAAGTTTTGGGGTTTTTCCCCCACATTTTCCAGACCATTTACCTTAGACCTTATATATATTATTTCATTCCTCAGGTCTTCCCCAATCCCTGTAATCACACTCATATCTGACTTCCCTGAAATCTTAAATTACTTCTATCTTACAATAGTGCCTATTTACTATTTTACATTGTTGTGTTAAATAGTCACACTTCTGCCAAGAATGCTATGAACAAAGAAAATGGTGTTTCCAATTATTTCAGTGTGTAACTCTCCTCCTAAAAATGGTGGCATACTATTGAGCCTAAGACAAAAACAATAGCTTTGTCTATAATAAAGCTATGTTATCTTTTTTTCCCTGACTAGATCATGAGCCTCTTGAAGATAAGAGTTCTGTCTTAGATTTTCCTTTACTACCCAGCTTGGCACTAAACATAAGAAAGGCATTCAATAAATACTAATGACCTAAATTAACAAGGGCTAACATCACAAATACTTAACAGGTACAAATAATATTTTGAACAATTTGTTATGTTGATATTTTAATGATTTGTGCTTTGGAACAAATGACTCATCAATGGCATTGAAAAAAATATACACTGAGTAAAATTTTTTAAATAAATCATTAAAATTATAACATAATACCAGCTAACGTTTATTGATTCCTTCATTAGGTAACAAGTATCTGTTTAGGTATTTTAACTCACATTATCCTCACTTAATCCTCATAACAAGTTGCTATGATTATTTTCACATTACAGAGGAGGAAATGGGAGTTCAGGTGGATTAAGAAATCTATACAAGGTCCCACTGCTGCTTAAGTATAAGGGCCAGAATTACTCTGGGGTTGTCTCATGCTCTTAACCATTTTCAGGTTACTCTAAAATTCAATATAGGTTAATGCGTATCTTGTCCAAGGCCTTTCAAATCACACAAGCATGGTCAATGCCAGATATCTGGCCTTTCCAGCCTTCCTACCTTCTATTTCCCTCTTGGATCCTGTTTCTGCCAAACCAGACCACATGCAACACTGGGACACACTCCAGCTTTCCAGCCTGCCCTCTCCTCAACATTTCTCCTCTTTCTTCTCCCTCTTGCTGCACACAATCACTCCTCCTTACCTGCTGAAATCCTAACTCTTGAACACTCAGTTCTCGGTCATTCCTCCACAAAGCTTTCCCCTCCGTCGTAGGATGAAATATTTGCTTCTACCCACTTCTCTAGCTCTTCACACTCCACTTCTGAGCCTTGTATCCTGCTTCGTACTTAGCTATTTATATCCACACAGGGCTCCTATGCTGGATTGCAAACACTTTGATGGCAAGGGGTGGAATCCAAGGGCCTACAGCCAGTTCATCCTCATATACACTCAGCCCCCTCACACAGTGCTTTACACATAGCAGGTAACTGAAGAGGATTATTGACTTGAATTCATTTTCACTTGACCTCAAGAGGAAATGATTGAGTTT